TGGATATAAGCTTTACTCTTTCAGAATACGAGCAGAAAAGTATTTCATTATAGGACTCCAAACTAAAACTAACTAAACTACACAAAAGCAATTTTGTACGACTAGAGATTCTAGCACATGAACTTGGTTTTGCAGTAAATTGCAAAACTAAATCCCCTGTTCTGTGTCTATATTCTGTACAACGATCGAAGTTGTGCAATACTCTCGATGTTATTAGTAGTAATTTTCTCTCTTGGTATGTTTTTTGTGTTCTGTTTTCGATAATACGTTAGTCAACGGTTAATCATACACTACTAATTCTTACGTCATTTGAGCTTCCGGTGCTGCTTCAGTTGTTGCATCTTTTGTATCATTAATTTTGCAATATTCTTTTTTGATTAAATCAACCGATTTTGTCATAAATAGTTTCATTGCTTCAACAGGATTATTTTGTACTGCTGCTGTTGTTCGTGTAGTTGACGATCGTCCTGGGGCATTGGACATGTTGTAGAAATACAGATCTCAGCTAAAAGCAACAAAAAAAATGTATTTCAGATTCCTATTACTGCGAGGGCTGCCTTTCGATGTTTTCGAGCGGAACGAAGTCATTATCAATGTTTATTTTCGTCACAGACACAGTCTACAGTCTGTAAGCGTGTCCACTGCAGAATCAGTTCTTAGCTCTACTTCGCTTAACACCGCGTCAGTATCTGTTTTTAATAAATGTCTCAGTTCTCTCAGATTATTAAAGGAAGAGAAGATTCCTTATGTGATTTGAATTTAAATGCATGTTATGATGCTACAACACAACTAAAATCTAATTTTTTCTTTTCTATTATGTCAGAATGAGAAGAATAATGTTTACATAATGATTAAGAAGACAACTGGCACTTATGAATAATATAAAAGTAAAAGAAAGGAGGAAAAGAACGCGAGAGAATATGAAGCAGAGGAAAGGAAAAAAATAATACTGCTCGTAAGCTGCGAAGCAGTGCCATCTTCATAGCAGCATGTCGCGATAATTAAAATAAAACAAACGCATATAAATTATCTCTCTTCTTCACATTGGTGCTACTGTTGTTGTGCTATTAAGAAGTACATTTAAAGAGAATGCTGACATCCTCAACACACACGAATATAAATTAACAGAAAATACAGAAAACAATAACACCCATGCCCATAAAAGGCAGTCGAATGACGTGCACGAAAAAAAGGAAAGGAAAACGAAAACTATGCTCATAAAAGGCAATGGGATGACCTGTGCAGAACGAAATAGCTCTAGTGAGATGCTTACTCGAATCTTACTTAGATCTTAGAACGATCTTAGTAAGATTTCGCTTACGTTTGTCTAAGATTTTAGATAAATCTTACTAAGATCGTGAGACCCGAAAATTTTAAGATTTGATAAGATTTTCCCAAGATCTTAGCAACATCTTACTAAGATTATACTGTTTAAGGATTTTTCAAGATTGGGTAGAATCTGTTAGGGCTTTAATGATAAGAATGACGACGTTTTCTTAACAATATTCAGTCAAGATTTGCTGATAAATTTTTAAATTAAGATTTGCTTGATTGAATTTTTAAACTTTTAATCCGCATTACCCATGTAAAGTCATTGCGTCTGAAAAGACGCGTTTTGACGCGTTTTTTCAGAAAAAAATGGTCAGACGCATCTGAACGCGTCGTACCGAGATGCGTTTAGACGCGTCTAGCACTTTTTATTAAAAAAAACGCGTCTTAACGCGCTTTACCAAAAGAAGTCTCCAAGACGCGTCGTACCGTGACGCGCTTAGACGCGTCTGGAATTTTTGTTAAAAAAGACGCGTCTGAACGCGGTTTTTTCTTAAAACGTTTGTCAGACGCGTCCGCCACTGTTTATAAAAAAAACGCGTCTTAACGCGCTTTGCCAAGAAAAATCTATAAAGGCGCGTCTGAACGCGTCTGGAGTTTTTATGACGCGTCTTAACGGGCTTTGCGAAGAGAAATTTCGAAAAAACTTTTTCGGACTATATATATATAATAGTGCTGACGAAGAACAAGAGACAATGACTGATTCTCACTTTCTTCTTCGTCAGTACTATTACATATATATAGTCTAAATAATTATATATTCTTCACATTTATTCTACTTTTGTCTGACGGAGACTCTTTGACGTTGAAACGTAACAAGACATATAAAACAAGAAAGAGTATTCAGGAATAAAGTGCGGTGAATACAAGTGAATAAGTTTCAACGGCA